CTACTAACGAGTACATTTACACTACTGTCACAGTATCATTTACACTATTTTCACAGTTACATTTACCTACTGTCACAGTAAATTTACAATTAATGTCACAGAACATTTACACTACTCTCACAGAACATTTACACTACTCTCACAGAACATTTACACTACTCTCACAGAACATTTACACTACTCTCACAGAACATTTACACTACTCTCACAGAACATTTACATACTGTCACAGAACATTTACACTACTGCTCACAGAACATTTACATTACTGTCACAGAACATTTACATACTGTCACAGAACATTTACATTACTGTCACAGAACATTTACACTACTCTCACAGAACATTTACATTACTGTCACAGAACATTTACATTACTGTCACAGAACATTTACACTACTGTCACAGAACATTTACACTACTGTCACAGAACATTTACACTACTGTCACAGAACATTTACACTACTGTCACAGAACATTTACACTACTGTCACAGAACATTTACATTACTGTCACAGAACATTTACATTACTGTCACAGAACATTTACACTACTGTCACAGAACATTTACACTACTCTCACAGAACATTTACATACTGTCACAGAACATTTACACTTACTGTCACAGAACATTTACACTACTGTCACAGAACATTTACACTACTGTCACAGAACATTTACACTACTGTCACAGAACATTTACACTACTGTCACAGAACATTTACACTACTGTCACAGAACATTTACACTACTCTCACAGAACATTTACATTACTGTCACAGAACATTTACATTACTGTCACAGAACATTTACACTACTGTCACAGAACATTTACACTACTGTCACAGAACATTTACACTACTTCACAGAACATTTACACTACTGTCACAGAACATTTAACTACTGTCACAGAACATTTACACTACTTCACAGAACATTTACACTACTCTCACAGAACATTTACATTACTGTCACAGAACATTTACAATTACGTCATCAGAACATTTACCTACTGTCACAGAACATTTATACACTACTGTCCACAGAACATTTACACTACTGCACAGAACATTACACTACTGTCACAGACATTTACACTACTGTCACAGAACATTTACATTACTGTCACAGACACATTTACACTACTGTCACAGAACATTTACACTACTGTCACAGAACATTTACACTACTGTCACAGAACATTTACACTACTGTCACAGAACTTTACACTACTGTCACAGAACATTTACATTACATGTCCACAGAACATTTACATTACTGTCACAGAACATTTCATACTGTCACAGAACATTCACACACTCCACAGAAATTTACATTACTGTCACAGAACACTTTTACATTACTGGTCACAGAACATTTACACTACTTCACAGAACATTTACACTACTGTCACAGAACTATTTACACACGTTCACAGAACATTTACACTACATGTCACAGAAGCATTTACACTACTCCACAGAACATTTACACTACTCATCACAGACATTTACACTACTCTCACAAACATTACATACTCTCACAGAACATTTACACTACTTCACAGAACATTTACACTACTGTCACAGAACATTTACACTACTGTCACAGAACATTAACACTACTGTCACAGAACATTTACACTACTGTCACAGAACATTTACACTACTGTCAAAAGAACATTTACACTACTGTCACAGAACATTTACACTACTGTCACAGAACATTTACACTACTGTCACAGAACATTTACACTACTCTCACAGAACATTTACACTACTGTCACAGAACATTTACACTACTGTCAGAGAACATTTACACTACTGTCACAGAACATTTACACTACTGTCACAGAACATTTACACTACTGTCACAGAACATTTACACTACTGTCACAGAACATTTACACTACTGTCACAGAACATTTACACTACTCTCACAGAACATTTACACTACTGTCACAGAACATTTACACTACTGTCACAGAACATTTACACTACTGTCACAGAACATTTACACTACTGTCACAGAACATTTACACTACTGTCACAGAACATTTACACTACTGTCACAGAACATTTACACTACTGTCACAGAACATTTACACTACTCTCACAGAACATTTACACTACTGTCACAGAACATTTACACTACTGTCACAGAACATTTACACTACTCTCACAGAACATTTACACTACTCTCACAGAACATTTACACTACTGTCACAGAACATTTACACTACTGTCACAGAACATTTACACTACTGTCACAGAACATTTACACTACTGTCACAGAACATTTACACTACTGTCACAGAACATTTACATTACTCTCACAGAACATTTACACCATCACTCATCCTTCAGTGTGCAGGCACTCTCTCTCCCACGATGACTCATCCTTCAGAGTGGAGGTACTGTGTTTCCCACCATCACTCATCCTTCTGAGTGCAAGAGTGCAGGCACTGTACTTCCCACCACCACTCATCCTTCAGAGTGTAGGCACTCTCTCTCCCACGATCACTCATCCTTCAGAGTGCAGGCACTATACTTCTCACAATCACTCATCCTTCAGAGTGGGGGCACAGTGTTTCCCACCATCACTTATCCTTCAGAGTGCAGGCACTATACTTCTCACAATCACTCATCCTTCAGAGTGGGGGCACAGTGTTTCCCACCATCACTCATCCTTCGGAGTGCAGGCACTATACTTCCCACCAACACACATCCTTTAGAGTGCAGGCACTATACTTCCCACCATCACACATGCTTCAGAGTGCAGGCACTGTACTTCCCACCATCACTCATGCTTCAGAGTGCAGGCACTATACTTCCCACCATCACTCATGCTTCAGAGTGCAGGCACTGTACTTCCCACCATCACTCATGCTTCAGAGTGCAGGCACTGTACTTCCCACCATCACTCATGCTTCAGAGTGCAGGCACTGTACTTCCCACCATCACTCATGCTTCAGAGTGCAGGCACTGTACTTCCCACCATCACACATGCTTCAGAGTGCAGGCACTATGCTTCCCACCATCACACATGCTTCAGAGTGCAGGCACTATACTTCCCACCATCACACATGCTTCAGAGTGCAGGCACTATACTTCACATTTACAGGATTCATATCCCGCCTTCCAGTTTTCTTGAATCACTTCATAAATGTTACCTTGTTTACACTCCAACAGCACGACAAGTCATGAAAACCATTTGCCTCCACTTGTTCCTCTCTACACGCTCACACATGGCTGCTGGAAGTCCAAGCTCTTCAGATACGATACCTCCTTTCCACCCTCCTTCCAACTTTTCCTAGGCGGCCTGCTAGAATGCCTTCCTTCCACTACAGATTTATATGCTTCCCAAGCCAATCTATTTCGTTTTACCCTCTCTAAATGTCTGATCCACCTCAACAGCCCCTCCTCAGCCCTCAGGATAATACTTTTATTATCCCCGCACCACTTCCTTTTCTCCAAACTACGGATTTTCTTTATTATATACATACACCTCATATTGCCCTCAGACACGACGTCTGCACTGCCTCCAGCCTTCTCCTTGTTGCAACATTCGCTACTTATGCTTCATACCATTATAAGAGCGTTGATATAGCTATACTCTTATAAATTCCCCTCTTTGCTTCCATGGAAAACGTTCTTTGTCTCAGACCCCACAGTGCACCACCACGCAATCCTATGCTCCGACTTGTCTTTCACACACATTTGCTGACAAATCCACTCCCAAATATCTGAATACATTTGCTTCCTCTATACTCCCTCTCTCCATTGTGAAATCCAATCTTTCATTACCTAATTTTTTTGTTCTCATCACCTTACAGATTCCTACGTTTACTTTTAATTTCCATTTTCTACACACCCAACCAAACTCGTCCAATAAGCTTTGCAACTTCTCTTCAGAATCTCCCAAAAGTACAGTGTCATTAGCAAAAAGGAACTGTGACTCCCACTTTGTGTTATATTCTTATCTTTTAATCCCACGCCTCTGCCAACACCGAGTATTTACTTCTCTTCCAGTCTCATCTATGGTATAAACCTTGGTAATAAATACTGACAAGTTAGTTTAGAAAGATACGTAAGCAAACACTATGGCATATTAGAAAACATTTCGGTCCTGGGAACCTTGATCACTTCTATCATACGGGGGTAGAAAGACATTATAATGTAGGCGGAGAGTGGGATGTGAGTAACGCATGGTGACCTGAAGAATGCCATGATGGGATGAGGATGGGTAGACGATGAGATCACGTGACTCCTGTGTTGTTGGGTTGGTGGTGCTTGGCCTGCTTGAGAATCATGTATGCTAATACTTTCGAAATTTTGTGGTTTCCAGAGTTACGTTTTTTGTGTCGGTGACGGCGAATAGTGAGGCTTCTAGACACCGTCGGCGTCTGAGGTTTGGTTCGGTGAGAACGGGTTATGCCTCTGCCCAGTTCATCAAATGCCCCGTGGAGTATCTGTGGAGGACACAGGCGTACCTTAAATCATCTCTGTTACACTCACTTCGATGCTTTTTCAGGTTGACTGCAAGATCTTTGCCTGTCTCACCTACATATTTCTTGGGACAGAATCCACAGGGGACTGTGTAGACGCCTGCTGTGGAAGTTAGAGGTGTGGGGCTGCGTCTTTGATAGATGATATGTTTATGGTGGAAACGTTGAAGAGGTAAAGGGAGGTCGTGGTTTTCAGTGAGCCTCTGTCTCAGAATGTTTATTGCAGAGCTAGTAGGAATGTTGATAAAGAACCGGAATGAGGCACAACTCGTTCTCACCGAATCAGATCTCAGATGCCGACGGCGTCTAGAAGCCTCACTAATCGCCGTCACCGACACAACAGAACATAACACTGGAAACCACAAAATTTCTAAAACATTAGCATACATGACACTCAAGCAGGTTAAGCACCACCAACCTAACAACACAGGAGTCACATGATCTCATCATCTACCCGTCCTCATCCCAATATCCCAAAGCACCCAAATTTTACCTTTTGGGATGAAGTAACCATGAAGATTTACGTCCCCGGAGGTCTGGTGGGGAATACCCTGAGGTACGAGGTCTGCCATCCTCTGCACCTCGTATATGACAGCTGTAGTGTAGGGCAAGCTGTACCGCCACACAAAATACTTTATTATTAGTAAAATGTATGATAATCTGCGATTAGTGACGGAGGAACGAGTCTACTACACTGCATGAGCTGAAATATCATCATGATTTTCACTGCTTCATAAAATATCTGTATCTATAAATATAGCCTGATATCTACTTTGATTTTGAGGGATTAAAATCAGCTTGTAAAGCCGTTTCAGTATTATATAGTTGCACTAGAGGGAAGATCTGGGGAAGAATTATCTGGAAACTAAAACAATGTTAATGACTTATAATAATAATTATGATCACAACAAGAAGTATACTATCCCGGGGATCTGGGAAATCTCTGACAAGTATAACAATATTGGTAACTTATAATAATAAACAATCATAGTAGGAACTACTCACATTGATGTAAACATCTGAGATATTAGTCTCTGGCAACAACAACAGTCTCACTCCTTATGATAGAATATTAATAAATAATAATACAATGTAGCTAGAGATATTTTAACAATACACAAATAACCCGCACATAGAAGAGAGGAGCTTACGACGACGTTTCGGTCCGACTTGGACCATTTACAAAGTCACACTAACCAGAAGTGGAGCAGGACGGCTATATATAGGCAGGAAGAGGTAGTGGTGGTGGTAGTAGTAGTAGTAGTAGTAGTAGTAGTAGTAGTAGTAGTAGTAGTAGTAGTAAGTAGTAGTAGTAGTAGTAGTAGTAGTAGTAGTAGTAGTAGTGGTAGTAGTAGTGGTAGTAGTGGGGAATAAGGAGGAGGAGCCAGTCAAATACAAAGAAAGGGGAGTACTGCAAGGGAGCTAGGTGCCCACAGAGGGAGAGAAAGTGCACAGAGGTGGGTGAATGGGTGAAATAAATAATGAAGGAACAGAAACAAAGAGACAGAAGAAAGAAAGACAACCAGAGGAGAAAAAGGAAAGAGGAAAGGGGAAGAGGGAGAAGAAGAAAAAGAAAAAGAAAAAATGAGTAGACAGGTTAAGTCACAGGTGTTCTGAAGTTTGGAGCATTTTACAATGTAGTGGGAGAGGAAGGCATCTACAGAGACGAAGCCAGGACTAAGATTCATACAAGGAAAGTTGTGTATTAGAGAGGATTCAACTAGACGGCGACTGTTAAAGTTGGAAGTAGGGAAGACAGTTGTAGTAGAAGACCAGTCAATAGGATGGCTGTAATCTCTGACGTGACAGAACAGAGCATTGTTAGTGTCGGCAAGCCTAACACTATTTTTGTGCTCTCTAAGTCTGTCAGAAAGAGATCGACCAGTTTCTCCGAAGTACTGAAGAGGACACGAGGAGCAAGAAATAGAGTAGACACCAGGAACATCTGTAGAGGGAGGAGAGGTATGAACGAGATTAGTGCGAAGAGTGTTAGTCTCATGACTCCAGTCTCTTCCAATCTTTTCTTGAAGCTCTTAATAATCTTGCCCCTTCCATTAAGTTTAAAGCTGAATGGGAATCTAATTCCTTGCTTCCTTTCCTTGATGTCCATGTCCACCGCTCAGATACAGGTTTTTTCTTTTCCGTTTACCGCAAACCTATGCACAGTGGCATGTACATTCACTACTTTTTCTATCATGCTTCCCCTGTCAAGAAAAGTGTTCTTATCTCCCTCTTTCTCAGTGCCCTCCACATCTGTGATCCTCAGTTCCTTCCAGCAGAAATTTCCACTCTTCATAACTCATTTTCCCGTCTTGGCTACCCTTCCCATTTCATAGACTCTGCCCTCTCACGTGCTAAACGTAATTTCTTCTCTCCCAAACTCTCTACTCCTGGGAAATTTTCTGTCCTCTGCCTTCCCTTCGTTTCCGGTCTTTCTAATCTCAACAGTTCTCTCCGTCCCTTAGACATCAAGCTTACCTTCCGCCAGACTAACACTCTTCGCACTAATCTCGTTCATACCTCTCCTCCCTCTACAGATGTTCCTGGTGTCTACTCTATTTCTTGCTCCTACTGTCATCTTCAATAGTTCGGAGAAACTGGCCGATCTCTTTCTGACAGACTTAGGGAGCACAAAAATAGTGTTAGGGTTGCCGACACTAAGAATGCTCTTTTCTGTCACGTCAGAGATCATAGTCATCCTATTGAATGGTCTTCTACTAAAACTGTCTTCCCTACTTCCAACTTTAACAGTCGCCGTCTAGTTGAATCCTCTCTAATACACAACTTTCCTTGTATGAATCTTAGCCCTGGCTTCGTCTCTGTAGATGCCTTCCTCTCCCACTACATTGTAAAATGCTCCTAAACTTCAGAACACCCGTGACTTAACCTGACTCCTCATTTTTTCTTTTTCTTTTTCTTCTTCTCCCTCTTCCCCTTTCCTCTTTCCTTTTTCTCCTCTGGGTTGTCTTTCTTTCTTCTGTCTCGTGTTTGTGTTCCTTCATTATTTATTTCACCACTTCCCCTTTCACCCACCTCTGTGCACTTTCTCTCCCTCTGTGGGCACCTAGCTCCCTTGCAGTACTCCCCTTTCTTTGTATTTGACTGGCTCCTCCTCCTTATTCCCCACTACTACCACTACTACTACCACTACTACTATTACTCTACTACTACTTCTACTACTACCACTACTACTACCATTACTACTACTACTACTACTACTGCTACTACTACCACTGCCACCACCACCACCACTACTACTACTATTACTACTACTACTACTACTACCACTACTACTACTACTACTACTACTACTACTACTACTACCACCACTACTACTACTACTGCTACTACTACTACTACTACTACTGCTACTACTACTACTACCACCACTACCTCTTCCTGCCTATATATAGCCGTCGTGCTCCACTTCTGATTAGTGTGACTTTGTAAATGGTCCAAGTCGGACCGAAACGTCGTCGTAAGCTTCTCTCTTCTATGTGCGGGTTGACTTGACTTAAGAAATCGTAATGACACGATTGCAAACAAACCATACTTCCGGCCGGGATTGAACCCGCGATCATAGAGTCTCAAAACTCCAGCCCGTCGCGTTAGCTGGTCTAGTGGCTAACGCGACGGGCTGGAGTTTTGAGACTCTATGACCGCGGGTTCAATCCCGGCCGGGGGTATGGTTTATGTGCGGGTTATTTGTGTATTGTTCCAGTCACGGTATTGTGCCTTTTTTTGTTATTATATTTTAACAAAATTTTTGGAAACATCTTTTGATAAGCATAAATATTTTGCGTATGTTGGAGTGTATTCTGTAAGCACGAGTTATCATGCTCACATCGTCGATCCAGAGAGACACGGCGGCGATGATCACAGGTCCATCAGCACTAGACATCAATTAATATGTACAGATTTCAACATGAAAAAAATTAAGAATTCTAGTGAATGTCTCATAATTCACTGAATTACATTTGTTCTTTTTTTCATTTAATTAAACTGACTATCTCCAGATACCCATACAGGTTGAACGCTTCCTCTTAAAGATCACAACATATACCTGTCCATTTGATCGAGGGAGGGAAGGTTGTCTCGTCCCACAACTAGGTCCAGCTCCTTCTGCATTCGTCTCTGTGCCTCAGGGTTAAGCGAGAGAAAGTAAACAGCCCACCATAGAGTCGAAGATGTTGTCTCACTCCCACCCAAAAACAGCTCCAGGATGTTGGCCTTCATGTGAGCCACTGACAGACACGGAGAAAACACATTCATTAAGTATATACATAATGAAGGCAGTAAATTTATTTACTATACTTGTCATTAAGACACACACACACACGCTCACACACACTCACACACACACACAGACACACACAGACACACATAGACACACACACACAGACACACATAGACACACACACACACACAGTGTAGTGGGTCACAAGCGCCAGGCTCCGAGGATCTTAGTGCTTTTAGGGCGTGTTTTTAGCAGCTAGAAGCATCCAGTGTTAGTGACAACGTCAGTGAACAACCCTACAAGTGATAACCAATGTGTTAGAAAAAATAAATTTAAAATTAAGGCGAGGGGAAAGCCTGAAATTATACAACCCAAAAATTTTAAAGTGCCAGTTTGTTGAGGCCTAGTGGGGGGGGGCCTGTTGCCACATTGTTACATATATAAAAAAGTACAAAAAGTGACTAAAGAGAAAAGCCCAAAAAAAAAATTAAGAGGGGGGGGGTGGTAACGCAAAAATGTGATGTTCACACCCGCGTGAACAAGTAGCCAGAAAAAAGGGGAAAATTTTTATTTATTTCATTTAAAAATATATAAAACAGAGGTGGTGGCAGCAGTTGGCCTGAGGGGAGTAGGCCCCCATAAAAGGTTGGGTTCATCACAAATAAATAGGGTACTTACCAAAAGTGGAGGAAAATTATAAAAAAAGCAGTATACAAGTGATAAGGTTGGGGGTAAAAAGAGGACAAAAGGGCAAGAGATTTAAATTAGCCGAAGAAGTCAAAAGGCCCGGGAAAGGGGGAGGGGTACGAGTCAAACTACAACGAGATCGACAGCGGGGCATCGTAATCAGGCATCGGATGGGTCCCCCCCGAGTAAAAGTACAAAAACTCACTTGTCTGTGGTGGGGGAAGTCTGAGGGTAGGAAACCCGGGGGCCCCCGGGGCACTGGTAGCTGGCTATTTTTTAAACCCCCGCTCCAGGCGTTTTTCTACACAAAAAACCTAGCAGTAGTTTGGGGAAATAAAAAATTTTAGGGGGCAGGTCAAAGGGACTACAGCCCTGACAACAGTTTCGAGAGTTTAAGGGTTTGGACACCCAAAGGGGCAGTACAATTGGGAAGCAAATAATTTGGGGGGCCATGTAGTAAAAAAATAGTGAAGAGTGACTTGGGTTTAAAACACGCTAGTATTATAATTTTAGAAATACTTCAGTGTTAATGGTATCTCATTTTGTTTACGGGGGACAAGAAGTGAGTTGTAAATTTGGGACATATAAACAACTTTACGTGCCCACAACCACCAGAACGCGCGCACACACATACCCACTGCGGGCGGGAAAACTGGGTCTCGACCCCTGAAACCACATCTAGGGGCGAGTACAAAACCCGCTTATCCTTTGGGAAACTGACCCCCCCCCCCACAGACCCCCCCCCGGGCCCACCACTCCCCAAATTTTTTTTCCCCCGCTCCCCCCTCCCCCTACTCGATCCTCCCCTCCCCTCCTTTACTCTCTCTAAATCCCCCCCTCTCCCCCTCCCCCCCCTCTTCTCTCCTCTCTCTTTTTCTCTTTTCTCTTCTCTCTCCTCCCCCTCTCCCCTCCCTCCCTCTTTTCCTTCCCCCCCTCTCTCTCCCTCTTCCCTCCCCCCCTCCCATCCCCCTTCCCTCTTCTTCCCTCTCTCTCCCTTCTCTCCCCCCTCTTTTCCCTCTCTCTCCCTCTCTATCCCCTTTCCCCCTCCCTCTCTTCCCCCTCTCTTTTCTCTCCCTCTTTTCCCCCTCCCTCCTCTATTCTCTTTTCCCTCTCTCTCTCTCTCTCTCCCCCTCACTCCCTCTCTCCCCCCCCCCTCCCCCCCCCCCCCTCTCTCTCCCTCTCTCCCCCCTCTCCCTCTCTCCCCCTTCCCCCTCTCTCTCTCTCTCCCCCTCTCTCTCTTCTTTCCCCCCTCTCTCCTCTCTCTCCCTCTCTCTCCCTCACTCCCCCCCTTTTTCCCCCCCCCCCCTCCCCTTCTCCCTCTCTCTCCCTCTCTCCCCCTCCCCCCCCTCTCCCCCCGCCCCCCTCTCTCTCTCTCTCTCTCTCCCCCTCTCCTCTCTCCCCCTCTCTCTCTCTCTCTCCCTCCCCTCCCCCCACTCCCCTCCTCTCTCCCCTTCTCTTCTCTCTCTCTCTCCTTCTCTCTCTCCCTCTCTCCCTCCCCCTCCTTCTCTCTCCCTCTCTCTCCCTCGCTCTCTCTCCCTCTCTCTCTCCCCCCTCTCTTCTCTCCCTCTCCTCCTCCCTCTCTCTCCTTTTCCCCCCTTCTCTCTCTCCCTTTTCTCCCTTCTCTCTCCTCTCCTCTCCCTCTCTCTCCCTTTCCTCCCTCTCTCTCTCCCCTTTTTCCCCCCCCCCCTTTTCTCTCCCCTTTCCCCTCTCCCTTTTCCCCTTTCTCTCTCCCCCTCCTTTCTCCCTCCTTTTTCCCCTTTCCCTCTCTCCCTCTTCTCTCCCTCTCTCTTTTCCTCCTCTCTCTCTCTCTCCTCCCTCTCTCTCCCCCTTTTCCTCTCCCTCTCTCTCTCTCCCCCCTCTCCCTCTCTCCCCCCTCCTTCTCTCCCTCTCTCTCTCCCCTCCTCTCCTTCCTCTCTCCCCCTCACTCTCCCTCTCCCCCCTCTCCCCCCTCTCTTCCCTCTCCCTCTCCTCTCCCGCTCTCTCCCCCCTCCCCTCTTCCCCTCCCCTCTTCCCCCTTCCCTCTTCCCCCCCCTCTCTCTCTCCCTCTCTCCCCCTCCCTCTCCTCTCCTCCCTAACAAAAAAAAAAAAAAAAAAAAAAAAAAAAAAAAAAATGGGGCCTTAGAGGGGGAAAACCCAAATTTGGGTAGAAAACCCGGGGAGGAAAACGGGAGTTAGGCCAAAAAAAGGGGGGAAGAGGGGGAAGGAAGATGTAGAGCTTGGGGGGAAAAGGGAGGACGGATAGCTGAAAGTGCAGGGAAGGGGGAAAGTACGGGCCTTGCAGCAGAAGTAGGAACAGTGCTTAAAAGAAAAAAACCAAACCCTGAAAAGATTAGGAGACAAATAAAATCAGACGTCATCGGGAAAAATTCAAAGTCAGGCGCAGACAAGGGGATGGTAAGCAACAACGGAGACATGCCGTACGGGAAAGGGCCCCTATCAGCCCCACGTGGGGCCGGGGAAAAGACGACGACACACGAGATAAAACGACGGTTGAAGACAATGATGGAAATTCAGAGTCAGGGCAGACAAGGGGGGGTAAGAAAAACGGGCATGCCGTCACAAAGGACCTATCAGCCCCACGTGGGGCCGGGGGAAAAGACGATGGCCACTGAGATCAAACGACAGGTCTGAAGACAATGATGGAAATTCGAGTCAGGCGCAGAAAAGGGGATGGAAAACAAAAACGGAGACTGCGTACACGAAGGACCTATCGCCCCACGGGGGGCCCGGGGGAAAAGACGTGACAACTAGAAAACGACAGGTCCGAAGAAAATAAAGGTTTGTTATAGCAAGGTTTAACAGCCAATGCAGTGCACGGGAAGCGGGCCCCGGGGAAAGACTCCCAAAGAATAGATGTTTCAGATATGACAGGGACTAACAAAACATGTCAAGGAAGGAAACAAAATGCCTCAGGGGAAGCAGATGGGACTCATGGGGGGGAGGAAAGGGCGGGTCAGTTTTTGTGTACGGGCTCCAAAACCAAAGGGGCCAATTAAAGAAAAAAACAGGAGGAAAAAAAAATGATTGAAGGCATCAAAAAAACAATGGGGGGGGAAATATGCCCCAGGTGAAAAATTTTCAGAAAATTTGGTGTTTGCGAGGGGAAGGAAGGGCCCTGTCAAGAAACTTTAAAGGGAAAGAATCATTCGAACAGGATTCGCAAGAAAAAGCAAGACTGAGGGGCAAAGGGGGGTACCGAGAGTATACCTCGACCGCGACAGAACACAAGAAAAAGGGACTACACTGAAAAGAGGGTACAAGACGCAAGGAGGAACGAGAAGCAATGAAATGGCAGACCCAGACACAGGAGGAAGGGAAAACACACCCACAAAATCTCCCACCAAAAGACCCCACCCGGACTTTCCCCAACGCAACTGAGCAACCTAAACCCACCCACTCACGTTCCCTCTGCCCCCAACCCCCAACAAAAACCCTCACCCCAACAGCTGTCCCTTATGGGCATTCTGACCCACCCCTTCAAAAAATCCCCCACCCCAGCCCCTTTTAAGGCCCCCACCAGGCTCCCCCCCCCCAAACCCCCAATTATGCATGCCCAAATGATAAAAAAAAGAAACAAAAGGTTGTACACAATGCGGAGGGAAATTTAATGAATAAACAGAGGAGTGGAATAAAAATCAGTAAAAAACCCCCAACACATACAGTACAGAAAAAAATCGCTGAGATAATAACAGACACAACTTCCCAACAGGATTCAGATCCGAGGAAAGATGAAGGATAGGGGGGGAGGGGGGGTTCATGCTCATAAAACACCAATGGGGATTTGAGGAAATGGAAGGCATGGACATATGGAGAAAGGACTACATTTAGGTACAATTCAGCCCGGGGAAAACAAAAAGTAGTCTTTGGAGGATGTATAACCCACCCGAACTGCAGGGGGCCAAAAGAGGAGTACGAAAAAACAACAGGGTGATGGTGGACACACTGGTGAGGGGGCAAAAGGCTCACTCGAGCAAAAAGTTTTAAAGGGGTTCCCCCCGGGGGGGGAAAAAGGGAAAATGGGGGTCCCGAAAAAAAGGGAGCAAAAATGATGGTGTGGTACTTGAAAACCTCACTCAAAAGGGGGCAAAGAAAGGGGAGGGGGGAAAACGTACTGGTTACCCCCAGATTTAAAATCGAGGGCCCTTGAAGGCCCCTTGGGCAGGATATGTGGTTCATTGGAAATTTTAAAGGACAAGGGGGAAAGGAAAAAAAGGGAAAAAGGAAGGAAATTTAAAAAGGGGGGGCAAAAAGGTAGAAAATTTTAGAGGTTCTGGGAAGGGAAAAGAAAAGAAAGAATTGGTTTGGGAAAAAAATAAGGGG